GGGACAAAACAAAAGAAATGTATTATTCATTGCTGAGCCACAAGATGATTCCTTTGTTTTATTTCCCCAAGCTTCGGAGCCAAGTATGAATTTTCATATGTTGAAATTGGTTTCTTGTGAGCTAGATTTTAAATTTCAGAGTTCGGATGTTATCGAAAGTGCAGTAAGTTATTTCACTCCGTTTTGCAGCAAGGTAAGTCTTTGGAGCCAGCTTGAAGTTGCCAGGAACTTTTTATCATCCCTAAACAAAGCATTCACCTTGTAACAGTTTCAATCAGCTTGTCTGTTTCTTCTCCCTCTTCAGGTTGTTCAACTGCAGTATCCTCCATGTTGTCCAGTATGGTTTGAGCAGACTCCAGGGAACTTAACAGAACGGCTGTCAGCTCATCTCGGCTAACTCCATCATCTTCTGCCTGTATTCAAAAGTTTACAATAGTTCACAAGAAATGAATAATTATTTTGAAAGTTGATTTGCAAAGGTTGTAAAAGTGAACCCAACTCCAGCATTAACCTGTAAAAACCCCCTGGAGGAAGAAAAAGAAGCAACAGCCTCACCTTCAGAGCTACACTGGAAGGAGAGAATAAACTGCTCTCACCAATTATGCTAACCTTACTCTGGCAAAAAAACTCAAAACAAGAAAATTCTTGTTCTTTCCCTACCTTCCCTCCTCAGTTTGTAAACTAATTCAGCCAAACCTCCTGTAAACCAAAACACTTACCTTGACCTAATTTATTCTGGACATCACAAAAACTAATTTGCCCAATAACTGTTTATCATGTTACTGTTTTAAGGCCTTGTCCCTAGTTAGAATTTTACCCTTATTTTAGCCTCATATGAGAGGTTCCAAGATTGTGCTTTTACTATGGAATGTTTTGGTAAATTGATTTCATGTCAACATTGCATTGTATGTGTTTTAAATTTCCTTACCAAATTAAAGATATGGAATAATAATCTGCATTTATCTTTTACAGTTCCATGGAGACACAAAGCTATTCCGCCAATAAATTCCTCCAAGTCGATTGTACCATTCTGTAACAGAAAGGAAAGGTGGGATCGTTTTCGATTGACATGTAACATCCTGAATTCAATCTGTGAGTGTACAAGTGATCACAGCCAGACTATCCAATTACTTTGGCAAGGCAAGCTGAAGCTAGCATTTACTAGCCCAGTCGTTATTTCAACTAGCCCCAAAAACTTTTTGTCCTTCTGTTATTCAAATTCCTCATAAAACATCACTTGCCCGTCGGGCAAGTTAGAAACAGAATTCACTAGCCAGATAGCATAATGCACTAGCCAGATAGCATAATGCACTAGCCCCAGGCTATCGGACAGTACTTTCTTTGCACGCTGATATATTCAAATTATTATTGTTATTTTCAAAATCAAGGTAGCTGATAGCCGGTTATGTATTGGTCAAATCGAAGTTTCAACATGCCCCCCCCGGGCATACCCTGGGCATTTGACACCTTTGTTGTCCCGGGGAGGAGGGAATTTGATGATCAGAGTCTTCCAGGGGGTGGGGAATTTGATCCCCATGCTTTAGGGGTGGGGAATTTGAACTGCACCCTTGATTTCATGTAAAATCTTTGGCGTGGTGAGCTATCATGGGGGACCCGGTAGTAGAGGATTTTCGTGGAAAAGATTGTGCCTTTGTGGCCAATTGGTTACGAGGAAAGGGCTTAAGCAAGCTTTGTGCTGTATTTAAAGTATTTAAATTTTAAAATTTTTAATTGGATTCAGGCTTTGAATGTATGAATGTATTTTATTGTTGTGTTTACATTGAAATACAATACCTATACCGGCGATTCAATACAACAAAATAAAATAAAATAAAAAGCTCAGGTCAACTACTTTGACCTTCTGCAAGTATGTTAAGTAATAAGGTGAGAGATGATGCATGTCAGTGAAATCGTCATGATGTAGTATTATCTCAATAGGTGGAATCTTTTTTTAAAGATCGTTCCACAGGCAGCCCAAGCGCACTAACGAATTTTATTTATTTTTTATAACAAATTTTTGTTCGAATTTTATCACATGTATTCGAATCTACAACGCTAAGAAAAAAAAATAGTGTTCAGTATTCGATGGAAAGAA